TCTTCACAAAAGCATCTTCCAAGCTCGTAAATGGACGCTTCTTCGCGATTCGGGCACGGTAGGCCGGGCCTACACCCTCCACGAACTCCAGTTGGACCTCGGAGCTCGTGTTGATGCACGGTAACGGAACAGACTTGATGAAGAATGCACGAGCAGCAAATGGACCGTAGTACGCTTCCCAGCAGGTGGCATCAACAAACGCGGAGTTCGGCAGGTGATAGGTCTGACTGCGGGTGAGCTGGACCTGGATGCGCTGGACTTGGATCAGGAGACGTTAGTCGCTCTGCGGCGTATTCAGTCTGCCACTGCTTCTTCGGACAATCCTCAAGCCTTTCCGGCAGCTTTGGCCAAAGCAGCTCACCAAGTGGCCCATGGGAAATCCCATAAGCGTCTTAGACCAGGTGGCGAGGATTCAGACGACGATCCGGACGACTCTGACAAAGACAAGGCTCCAATCCCAACGGACAAGGCCAGTGCTTCGATGGCAGCTGCCGGTCTCGGTGATGCGCCACCTGCCGATACTTCAACTCCCAAGTCGGCTCGTAGATCGCTGTTCGGTCCGAAGGCGTGGAAGAAGGCGGCCCAGAAGAAGCGCAAGAAACCCCGTCCTCATTCTCCTGCTAAGTCGCCACGACGTCATATAAAGACTCGGTCCAAGTCTGTACCGTCTTCTCCAAGTTCATGGTCGCCACCTCCTACACCAGCGTCTTCCTCGACTCCCGCAGTGGTCGACCTCAGCGGCGACCAGAGTGACGTGGACATGGGGACTGCGGATCCAGGCAGCGTCCCTTCGGTTCAAGAAACTGCTACAGAGCCTTCGGGTAAGGACGTGAACCCTGAGGATCACGACGATGTTCCTGTCTCTCCTGATGCGCCTTCGCTCCCGCCTCAGGGTCCACACGATGTGGCCAAGTCACCAGCTTCAACGATTTCACCTTCTCCAGCCGACATACGTGCTGCTGAAGAGGCTCTGCGCGAGGCCGAGGAAATGCGGCTCATGTTTGGCTCGAGTGACGAAGATGAAGAGTCAAACCAGACTGTCCCACAAGGCAAGTCTGCTTCGGCGTCTGCCGCGACATCCAAGGCAGTTGAAGTCTCGGGAGTGGTTTCTACAGCAGGGTCTGCCCCTGTTGAGGCTGCTCCACTAGCTTCCGCGTCTTCGAAGTCGGCTCCGACTGTTCCCACGACTGATGTACCAAGCGTGTCTTCGCCTGGCCTTTCGATGGAGATTGATGACGATGGGAATGCTGATGACGACTATGGAGATGACGTGTATGACAATGAATCTTCGGTGGATGACTCTCCTGATGCTCCCAGTGGTAGCGGTGATGTTCCGCCCCCCACCGATCATTCAAGCATACTCGATGACGAAGATGTTGAAGATTCAAACAGGAACTGGAGTAATCTTGGCCCAGCT